TATCAATGCAGATACTAAGAGTACCCATAGTACTTTTTGTAAGGGAATCAATCATACAAATTAATTGAAATCATTAGAAACAGCTTAAGATAAATATATGGAGAAAGACAAAGAACAGCCAGTTGTACCTTTCATGCCGTTCAGGCTCAGGACGTTCACTTTCCTCTGTGGTCTCTGGAGAGCTGGTCAGAGGAGGGCTGAGAGAGAAATGCCTGCTGTTAGGTGCATCCATGCTGCCTCTGCCACTGCTTTGGCTTGCATAACTTCTGTAGCTTCCCTCTGTCTCGGAACTCTTCCTGTATCTGTTCATTTCCACATCAACCTCCTGCCCATCTTCATCTTCCTCCTCTCTCTCCCCTTCTTGGCTTTGGCTCCGTCTTCCAGATGGCAAGGCTGGCAGAGAAGGGCAATAAGGCCGAGGCCAGCTAGAACCCCCTGTTGATAAGGCAGCATGAGTGCTATGTCCCGACACTAGCTTTTTGCGGGATTGTGAGTTATTCATAGAGTTATTATATAATTTAGAAGCCTGATGATGGGGGTCTTGTGTTTGACTTTCTAAAGGCACAGATGAATCTGTTTGCAAACTATGACTACTTTTAGGCCTATCTGCCACCGAGTTGGGTCTGCATGCAAAGGGGGATGTTGTAGAATCTCTACCAAGTGTCAGCGAGTCTATCCAGGCATTAGGGGTCAAAAAATGGTCCTTGTATAATTTTGAGTCTAAACTTTGGGTGCTCTTGTGGCGATTACAATTGTTTGACCCCAGACTCTTTGTCTTCCGAGGCATTGTTCCAGAGACATTGATTTGAGATACAGTTTTGCTCGACCAATTGTTCAACGTCTGCTGCTTTCTTAAACTTGCATGTCCTGACTCTACTGATCTGTTATTTACAAGATCTGATAATCTGGGTCGGTCATAATCTAGAGTCTCATAACTGTGATCTGAGCCCAGCATGGACCTTGAATATGGAGACTGGCTCTCAAGATCAGGGCCATCTACACTCATCTCTGAATAAACACTAGTTGGATTTATCTGTCTAGTGCTTCTTTCTATGGTCTGCCTCTGCTGATTGTCTGAGGATGAATAAATACATGGGTCAAAATAATGTTGACTTCTGCTTGAGGTCCTCTGACCTCTATGCCCTACATCTGTTTGGGTATTCTCCAATTTGTAGATTAAGGGTTCATCCATTACACGGCCAAGACTTGACTCAACAGGAGTTCTGCTTCGTCTTCGGTCCAATGTTTGTGATTTTTGGTGTTCCCCTCTGTCTAGACTACGAGACCTTTGGTAGTTGGATCTCTGGATAGAATAGTAGCCTTGTTGATTCTGCCTACACTTGGTATCCTTTCCATGAGAGGTATGTAGGGGCACCAAGCTTGCAGAAGAAATCCTGTGTCTTTCCTCCCATGGAATGCAAGAGGCAGCTCTTTCCTTCAACATGCTGGCATTCTCAGATAAAAGACTTTGTCTAATGGCTTGGTAGTTACCCTGAGGAGTTGAGGTTTCTCGAACTTTCCAGATTCTTCCATACTCATCATCTGTCTGTTCATGACTATATGGATTTCGATCAACAGTGTACTTGCGCAGTTCCTTTTCAAGCTCCTCTCTCTCCCGAGCTAAAGATAAACAGCGACTTAGGTTTCCTTGTTCCCTCTCATGCTCCATCTGCAAAACCAGGTTACTGGCTGTAGAGTGTTTGGTACCTTGTTTCACGGACTGCCGACCCAGAGTACTTTCTGAATGAGGATAGAGAAAAGAGTCACTATTATCTGATGAGAGACTTGTCTGGTCTGGTCCATCCAAGAACTCTTGCTCCAGAATGGGCATGTAATGTCCATTCAATGAAAGGTGCTTAGCCATAGATCGTGTTCTGCTAGAAGAAGGGATATCTGATGCGAAAGGTGGAAGATCCACTGAAAGGACAAAAGGTGGCTTTTTTCTTTCATCCCTGTAGGATCTCAAAGACTGGGATTTCTGGATTCTGAAGCTCCTGTTTCTTTCTGATGACCGATGGGAGTTTTGACTTGGGTTTCTCTTGATCTGAGAACTGACAATATTGGCATCTTCACAAGAATCGACAATAAAGCGTCCGTCAGGACCACGGTGGATGAACTCCACAGAGGACACAGGGGCAAGTGATGTCTGTTGGAGATGGCTCTTAGGGGGGGAATGGTGGGATGGAGTGTGAGCTTGAGGCAGGAGATGTTGCCGCTGGGCATGAAAATCACTGTGACTAGACTTTTCAAGGGAGGAGTGATTGGAAGAAGAGGAAGTGTAGGAGAGTGGACGAGCTGGTAGGAGCCTTTGGTTCAGGGTGTTGTCAGGGCTGCTAAGGTCAAGAATAGGTATTTAGTACATTCCAAAATGGCTGCAATGAATAGGAAAAATTTGGGCAATGAAAAAGGGTTTCATGAGGTGAGAGTGGTGAACTTACTTTTCAGAAGGGTTATTATTTATTGCAGTAGGGAGATCTGAAAGGAGGGAACCAATTTTACAATGGAATGAGTGACAGGATAAATGATCATGCATGAGGAATAACAATATGAGGTAAAGGAGTGAGAGCATCTTCTAAGATGGATACATTGAGGCAGACTGTTAAAACAGTTCTAAGCAGTTCAAAGTGTTGTTTCTTTACCCTTGACATTCTGCCTACGCCTTCGGTTCCTTTTGTGAAAAATGAAACAGACTATTGCCAGGGTCAGGATAAGAGCAAGACAAAGGAGTCCTACTCCACCCATAACACCAGCCATTAGCTGGTCAGGAAAGTCTAGGAGGCGGGAACTGGCTGGGTACATATTCATTCCTGCAGAGCGCAAAGAAAGGTTTTAATGGTTGGGTATGTGAAAAGACTTATAGATTTTATTATAAGTATAGCTTAGAGTAATAAATTCTAACAATTTCTGAAGGAAATATTACAAGTAGGTGATTAGAACAGGGAATGTGTGAAGCACTAACCGATGGTGGAGACACTGATTGATGGACTGGGCATGCTCAGCTGATCTCCACGTTGAGAGAGAAGCCTCAGTTCATATTTGCAGTCCTTCAGAGAGTGATACATCGTGAGAAAAATGTCAAAATAAGGATGAAAGCAAAGGGAGAATGGGTTGCATTTATCAAAAATGACAAGCTGACTGATTCGTGAAAATCTCAGATCATGTCTTCGAGAACATTTACCTTACATAACCCTGGAAGAAAGATTTGACTCTCAACTGGGCTAATGTTCTCTTTCAGATTAATCCATTCCCCTCCTTCAAGGCGTGACTGTACGACAAAACTGTCAATGTGTGGAGAATGGGACTGAGGCACTGACCACCACAGAAGAATTCCCTCTGAACTCTTATTGATTGAGAGATTTATAGGTGGTACCAGCTTGACCACAACAGGAAGTGAATCTGTAAAATAAAATATTAAATGAGAGAGACTGAAATGAACAGCTTGCTTTTATTCAATTATTCACAGTGTGTAGCATAAATACAGATGGTTTAACATTAATTTGAGTCTGCATGAGGTAGCCAGCACACAGACTAAGTGGTTTTAAAGACCCAATGAAATCAAAATTGGAGTTCTGTGGCTTTTAGACCATGTCTATTAGCTTTGAGGCCATCTATATGCTAGTACATTTCTAGAAAATGACTAAATTAATTAAAATTGATGAAAATTAGGAGATATTCAAACTCAAATGTACAGGCTTTCTCTTCTTTCTATGTACAATAGTTTGTTCAATTAAATTCCATCCTCCTAATATCATGTGTCACTTAATAGCAACAGAATATAACAAATCATGGTTCACGGCCATGAAAACTAGGTTCATAAAACCATTTCATAGGGTCTTGAAAGTTTCTTATGCACATCTAATGTTTACCCAGAGTTGTGATAGTGGTGATCTCACTGAAGGGCCCAGTGCCAATTTTATTTTGGGCCATAACACTGAACTGGTACTCAGTAGCAGGAAGAAGATTGGTGACCAACAGACTGTTCTCAGTGGAGAGGTCTGAGAAAGATAACCACTCTTGCTTTTCCTCTTTCCTTTCTGCTGACACCTGCTTATACCTGAAAAAAAGAATGTTAGTGTCAGACTTTTGGACCTATTTTGCCCCCGTAGTCCTTCCTATGTTTCCTTATTTGGTCATGTTCCTGTCCTCGTCTAGTTTGATTATGTTCCATTGATGTCACCTGTGTTTCCCTGATTGCCCTGTGTTTAAAAGTCCTAGTCTGTTCAGTTTGTGTCAGGTCTATTTGTTTCTACGTGTGTTTGCCCAGCTCCTATTGTGGATTATCCCGTGTTTTCGGCATTAACGACTGTGAATGCTACTCCGTGTCTCCTACGTTCTTCCCACAGCAGTGTATTGTAACAGTTAGCAAGTTTTCAAAACCAAAAAAAAAATGTATGAAGACAGGCTTAAACCATCCAGTGAAAAGTAGCAACAACACTACTAACTTTTTTCAGTAGCGTAAAATTAGCTAAAAAATGTTAAAGTGACATTTTTACCAACTAATTGCAATGCTGCACGACAAAAAATTTTTTCTTTCTTGATTTGTGCACTTTCTTGAGATTTGTTTTGTGCATGCAGCTTTGTGACTCTGCTTTGCATTGTTTTGCATTTAGAGTAAATTTATTAGATAAGCACTGCTCTTATTACAAAAAAATATAGTGTGACAGACTACAATTTCAAAATATTTAAGATTTACAGAGATGAACTCTATCACCAACCAGACAGTGAATTTCTGGGCATATCCTCCATCAAAGCCAGCTACCCAAGAGACATTGGCCTGGTTAATTCCTGGGATCACAGATACTGATGACACTGCATGTGGACTTGTACCTGTGAATCAGAGGGAAACAAGATATGTGTGACATATGTAGTGTGATACATGAGGTGTGACAGCAAGTTCAATCTAGATGAGGACTACTCAACTATCTCAGGGGCCACTAGATTTCCTTTAGCCCCTTTAGGGCTTTTATTTAGCTAAGATTCAAGCCCAAAATGAACACAGAATATGTCTGTGCTTACTGTTACAGTAAACATCACATGGCCCAAGTGCAGTAGTAATGATCTAGATGCTTCAAGTCTTACCCAGCACAAGGACTGTTGTTCTGACAGATACAGTGGCTACTCTGTCGGTGGAGCTGCACTCCCATTCCCCCTGGTGGTCTTTACTGAGAGGACGCAGAATGAGGGAGCCATTCGCTGCTACAGTGAACAGTGAGCGAGAGGCTGTGCCAACCTAAAAGGAGCAGTGCCATAATGAAGCATATAATGAGATTAAACACCGATTTTAATTCAACTTGATTTCCAGCTGTAAGGGGGTGCATTATAATATTTGGAGAAAATGAAAAATATTTGTGCACATGATTGATGCTATTTTTTCTAATGTTAATCAGCTCAGTTTTACATAAGCAGTTGTAAACTATTGCTGCTGAACATTACACCTCATAACATTACAGGAATGCCCTGGGTTAAATATGTGTTTAGCTCAATCAGCAACATTGTGGTTTGTTGTTTACCACAGAAAATAATTTAAACTTGTACCCTAGTTTGAAAGAACAAACAAAACATGTACAGTAAGACACTTTCAATGGAAGTCTATGGAGTATTTAAAACAGAAAAATTCTTTATAAACTTAACATGGTATTTGTACTAGAATTACCATTAGTTATTAGAACTGAAAAGGGGGGATTTTTTATTGTAAATACTGTTGCTTTGTTTGTGCTACAAAATATGGTAGAATACCTTGACTTTGACAAGTGAACCAAGAATGTAATTGTAAAGCACAGTGTAATGACTTTTACCTTTTTCCAGCTGACTTTTGGAGCCGGATTACCGTCCATCTGACATGGAATAACAAGCAGGCCCCCAGCATCCTGTCTGTACTCCTTACGAGGTGACACTTTAAATGATGGAGGATCCTAAAAGATGAAAACACTTATATTATGGCTTGAAAATTCACACTGACCATAACTAATTGTATTTCCATTCCATCACTTTTTCCACACAACATTCTAAGACATATATATGTTATATATGGAAGCCGTTTCTGCCACTGAATAGAAACAAAAAAGGTAATTGTAACTTTTTGTCTCACAATTCTGACTTTTTTCCTCAGTCTGACTTTATAACACGGAATTGTGAGTTATAAAGTCAGAATTGTGAGATATAAGCAAAAACGGGCTTCCATAGTTATAAACATTTGTATTTTTACATATTTTAATATCTTTATTGTTATTTTTTTACATATCTATTTTTACAAATAATTATTTTGTTACAGAAAACAAAAGTAAAAAAAAAAAGTAAAATGGCAACACTCTGTAAAGCCCCACCTGTAGTATAATGGTGGTAGGCTCAGACTGGCCCATTGTCCCAAAGCTATTGTAGGGAGTACACGTGTATACACCTCCGGCATCGTCATTAGCTGTCACTATGATTATAGAGCCTTCTGAAGTCAGTGTCCATCCAGGATACTGTTGAAAGAAATTCACAGTTATTCTGAGTGTTTTCTGAAATAATGCTCTTTGGAAAGATGTGAGGTTATGTCATCAAGAGAGGGGTATAAGTGTAAGCACAGCATGGTGTCACCGAATTAAAATCAATATGTCAAACATAAGTAGCGGAGAAAAAGCACTCAGGACAGCACTTGGGAGTAGCAGTGTACTTATAAAATGTACATATGAAAGGTTAAATACTTTTTTGTATGGATGGTGAGAAAAGCAAGTTACTCACCATGCCTAAATCGAGTGGTTTGTCGTCTTTGATCCAGTCGACATGTGATAATGGTGGTTCAGCTCTGATGGGGCACGCAATGACGCCCCTCATGCCAGTGGGGAGGAAGGCCAACGAGGGCATCTTCATCACCTGTGCTGGGTCTGTTAAAGAAGATATATATTATTTTTAAATTTGGGGTAAAATTTAAATTTTTTTATGCTCATTATAGTTTCATTTATTTGATGAAAAATAGAATAAAAAAGTAATATAGTGAAATATTATTACAATGCAAAATAACTTGTTTCTATTTGAATATATATATATATATATACATTTTTTTTAATTCCTGTGATGCAAAGATGAATTTTCAGCATCATTAATCCAGTCTTTAGTGTCACATGATCCTTCAGAAATCATTCCAATATGCTAATCAATATCAATGGTTGAGGATTCTTTGATGAACAGAAAGTTAATCAAGAACAGCATTTATTATATATGCATATATATATATAATGTAATAAAATATCTGGATGTGCTATATTCTATATCTCATGTATATATCAATTTGAACATAAAAGTGATCGAAACTAGTGTTATTTCTTGTTCAACTTGGAGTACAGTAGTGTGTGAAATTTATACTAGTGTAGGAAAAGGCAAATTCATTATTTCCGTTTTGCACTATGATATGAGAAACGCTTACGCTGCACAGTGAGGGTGGCTGAGGCAGAGGGGGAGACATGAAGTCCATTAGAGGGCATGCAGGTGTAGTTCCCAGAATCCTCTGGAGTCAAACGCGATATGAGAAGTGTACCGTCCACTATGACCTTAACACGAGACTTCAGAGACCTAAAACAAACACACATGGATACTGCATAAGCTACATGTTACCTGTAAATAATAAGGTGGAAGTTCACAGTTTTAGAAGAGAACTCACTCAATGTGATAAATATCTTCTCCTTGTCTTTGCCACACATATGTCATGTTGGGTGGATCAGCTTCAGCCTGGCACTTCAACTTGGCATCCTGGGACATGTTGAGAACAGTGTCCGTTGGAGGAATTACGATCACTGGAGGGCCTGTTGTTAGAAAAATAAAACACAATGTTCCATTATTGCAGCAATACGAATAATACGTTTCACTTGCTTTTCCTTGTTAAAAAAAAAAAATTGCTAACTTTTTTTGAAAAAAGAAAAAATTATTTATTATGGAAATAATAGACTATAAAATAATATACTTGTGCAAAGTAAATGACGTGTTTTCAGAAACTTAACTGCATGTTATTTACAATTAAATAGAAATGTATTACATTTTAAATTTATATTAAAAGCAATTATTTAAACATTCAAGGACTTTTTTGACACACACAGGACTTACATGCATCTTTATATGTAATTTCATAATTACTCTATTGTCTTTGAAATGTGGTTAAAGTGTACTGTTGAATGTACTGACAAGCAATGGCAAACTCAAATGTACTTTAATATACTTTATACTACTATAATGTTATTTTTTTTAATTACACATGATAAAGTTGCAATTTTATTAAATTAAAATATATTAACTTTAAACAGAATATCAAACACACTACAGTTAAAATTATAATCAAGTACTTTTCATGTGCTTTAGCATGTTTGTCAATGCACCAAAATAAGTGTACTTCTATAAAGCCTGACAAAAGATTATTCAAACATAATGATTTAAATGTACTTTAAAGTAAATTTTTTATTTTACATTATTACAAAGTGCACTTTTTAAACTTAAGTGTGTTCAGAAACCTAGCCATCCAAGTGTACTCTCTGTAAGTACACTTAAGCGGCCTTTCATTAATATTGTATTAACCGCATATATACATTTTAAAATATACTTTTAAGATTGTAAGTACTGTATATGCAAATTCAATACAAATAAGCATTTGGCAAACGCAAACAGTGAGCTACAGACACTTGAAAAGGAAGAGTGCTTAAATGTAATGTAATAAATTCCATTCAATCATAAAAGCTTATAATTTTCATGTGGAATATTATGGCATGAGCCAGGGGTTTCAAAACTATTGCAACTACTGTGAAAATTGCCCCCCTTCCTCTTTTTTGGGACAATAACCATATTTTAAGACCAAAACAGAAACATCTGCAAATCAGTTACATGCAATTCGATCCAATACATGTGCAATCTGCATCAGTAATTCTAATATGGCTCACACTCACAAACCTTATTTCCACCAAATTAGTTATGATTAATGGGCAAACATTATACCATCTAATAAATATTTATGAGCAAGTCTGATAAGGTGTATAATGGTCTCCCCAACACTTCTCAGATCGTTTCAATGTGCCTAACCTGAGCAATACAGATAATCATCCTAAATGAGGAGAAAACATCAGTGTTGACTTACCAATGACTTTGAGCTTTGTGAGGTGAGTCACATTTCCTTCAGTGTTGGAGGCGTGACACTGATACTGGCCTGATGTTTCTCTGCTTACAGCATGGAAAGATACACTTCCATTCATGATCTATAGGATCCAAATGAGATATATGAAGTGCAGAATAAATATATTCTAGATGTGATCCTCCATTGCATTTGTGTTAGCTTTAAGGTCAAAGTGAGTACAGCCGCAAAGTTGACAAAACAAACTTCTTCCTTTTCCAGGAAAATGTATTAAAAATGCTTATGACTAATATTGTTTGGAGTGGTGTATACATGTTTTTGTCCAATCAAATGCTCTCCAAAATGAGCACTTACAAGTAGTAAATCATAGTTTTTTTTTTCCAGGCTGTGATGTGAACTACACGTTATTGTCTGTTTAAAAAAGGACATGCACTTTGATATGTCACACCCAACTTTCCATAGGAAATATATCGACACAGGGAAGATAATAGCATTTGTCAACCATTTCATGGGGTTTTAAGTACTAACAGCCCACCTTTACTTTGCTTTGAGGATTTATAGGTCGTCCATCTTTAGACCAGGTTATTGTAGGCCGTGGATTTCCCTGAGCTGCACACTTCAGAGTTACCGATCTCCCTACAAACACTTCAACTCCAGGAGGGGAGGTCTCCGTAAACACAGGAGGCGCTAGACACAGGAGTAAGTAAAGAAAACACTAGTAAGTCATCATGATCTTCAAAAAAACTGAAAAGATTTATTAACGATCAAATGTGATGTTATAAAGAGCAGTTCATAAATGAGTTATTCTTCATGTTGGAGAGTTACTAACAAAAGGCATTGTAATTCAATTCGATTTTGAATTACATACTCTAGTTAAACATTTTAAATATAAATCTACACTACTGTTTAACAGTTTTAGGTCTGTAAGATTTTTAAATGATTTTGAAAAAAAGTTGTTTTTGCTCACCAAGCCTGAATTTTTATGATCAGAAATACAGCAATTAATGTTATTAGAACATAAAATAACTGGTTTCTATTTGAATATATTTTAAAATGTAATTTATTCCTGTGATAACAAAGCTGAATTTTCAGCTTCATATAGGTTCATACAGTGCCTTGCGAAAGTATTCTTTCACATTTTGTTATGTTGCAGTCTTATGTTAAACAGCTTTAAATAACTTTTTTTCCCACATCAATCTACACTCCATACACCATAAAGACAAAGCAAATAACAGGTTTTTAACATCTTTGCAAATTTATTAAAGTTAAAAAACTTCCACTGCATAAGTATTCAGCTGAAATTTAGCTCAGGATCATTCATTTTGCTTGTAAATGTTACCACACTTTGAGTGAAGCTAACCTGTGGCAAATTCAATTAAATGGGTATGATTTGGAAAGGCAGGTCTTAATAAAAGGTCTAACTGCTGAAAATGCATATTAGAGCGAAGACCAAGCCCTGAGGTAAATAAATTTGCAAATTTATTAAAGTTAAAAAACTTCCACTGCATAAGTATTCATACTGCGGCAGCTGAAATTTAGCTCAGGATCATTCATTTTGCTTGTAAATGTTACCACACTTTGAGTGAAGCTAACCTGTGGCAAATTCAATTAAATGGGTATGATTTGGAAAGGCAGGTCTTAATAAAAGGTCTAACTGCTGAAAATGCATATTAGAGCGAAGACCAAGCCCTGAGGTAAATAAATAAATAAAAAATAACTGCCTGTAGAGCTCAGAGACAGGAGCTCAAACAACACATCTGGGGAAGAGTTCAGAAAAAATTCTGCTGCATTGAAGGTTCACAGAAGAAGGTAGCCTCCATTATCCATAGTGGAAGACAAGTGGAACAACCAGGACTCTTCCTAGAGCTGGCCTCCTGGCCAAACTGAGCAATTGATGGAGAAGAGCTTTGGTTAGAGTGGTGACCAAGAAGCTGATGGTCACTCTAGTTGAGCTCCATGATCATATGTGGATATCTTCCTACAGGACAATGACCCTCAGACTCAGACTCAGACACAGACTCAACTTTATTGTCCCATTAGGGAAACTAAGATTGCAGCAAAGTGCCAATACACTAACCATATCCATGCACACATAACCATTACACCCATAAAAGCATACAAGGTAAACATACAATATCCCAAATATACATTAAAATTCAACCAGGCACTACTCAAGTTCGTAAATTTTGTATACCAAATACATTCTCCTCCCCACCAGACTTGTTAAATAACTTAATGGCCACAGTAACAAATTAATCTTTAATTCTTTTCGTCCTGTATACAGGAACTCTAAAACGACGGCCTGATGGCAGCATCTGGAACTCAGTATGTAGTGGGTGGTCAGTAACACAGAGAATGACCTGGGCTTTCTTAACAACAGCATTGAAAGCTAAAGTTTTAAAGTAGCACCCTCAATTTTTTTTTTTTTTTTTTTTTTGTTTTACTTTAGTGAAAGCCACAGTGGAGTCCAGCCAGGCCTGCAAGATGCTCTTTCTGCTTGGCGTCCTGTGGCTCAAAGAACTAACGAGTTGAAAACTGAACCTAATGTCAGCACAAACCTCAAGCGGCTTCTGTAATCTGGCCAACACTGAGTCTGAGTGTCAGAAAATGGCCTAAAGGTGTGGCCGACAGAGACAGAGCGTACTCTTGAACAGGTGCATGAGCACAGCCTGGTAACAGGTGCATGTATTCATTCATTGTTCACTGCATGTTTGAATGGAGTCGTGTTTGGGTTGGAGACTGTGGGATGAGTATAATGGCATTGTCTCGCTGATCTTACAAAAAGAGAATTGCTGTTATGGTTCTGATTCAGACTACAGGTAAAATTGGATATCTTCTCTTACTATAAATAATTCAGGTCTACTCGTTGGATAGTGAGTCTCACCTGTAACGGAGAGTAGAGTCCAGCTCCCGTTGCTGCTAGTCTCATCTGTGGTTTTGTCTAGCGGGAGGATTCGGCACTCATACCAGCTTTCGTCCTCCAGGAGAAGCCCCCTCATCTGCAGGGATGTTCCCCTGATGAGTGACACTCGACCTGGACACGATAAGGAGAGGGGAAGTTTCACAAATAACAAATATGTACAAAACTCAAGAGAGGTGCATATTTATTGCAGACTAATTTTCTAATATTGATTTAAAATCCACATGAGCACATCCTCATGAGTTTGTACAAAAAAAAAGCATATCTGTTGCAGACTGCATATTTTTCAAATATATACTTTATTTGCATAATTCAACAAGCTACAAGAAAACAAGTTAATATAAAAATGTAAATAAGTATAAACTTTATGTAAATAATTCCAACAAGCTACAAGAAAAAAAAGTTAATACAAACATGTAAATATGAAGTGCGTATATTTATAAATGTAATTTTTTTTTTAATGAGTATTGTTAGTATTTTTCTTTATTAGTATTATTTTTATATTATTATAAGCAAATGTTACTTAAGTTCACAACTTTAATCTAAAAAAAAAAAAAAAATGCACACTGCATTTGTGAGTTTGTACAAAACAAATGCAGTGTGTATATGCTGCAGATATAAATTATACAATTTTAATTAATTGTAACATGCTTCAAACTTTAAAAAATAAATATCAAATAATATTTTAAATATTACAGTATTGTTTTAGAAGTATAAGCACATGAAAATGCTTTTGCTTTTAATTAGTTTTAATATTATTATTTTTGTTCATTTATAATGTCCATTTAAATTCAGTTTAAAATTGCAATTAAAAAATAATAATTACAACAATTAAAATACACACGCTGAGTTTGTACAAATGAAGTATATTTACTTCAGACTTTTCCAGAACATTTTTAAATCAATAATGCAACAAAATTTACTTGAATTTTTCATTTAAATTTAAATGAATATAAATTCTAAAATACAAATTGTACATTTAAGTGTCAAATATAACACAAAAACATTTTTTTTCATTTAAATGTAATACAATAATTACAATTCTAAAATACATATACATTTAAGTGTCCAATAGACCATATATTTGAGCTGAACAACTTTTTAAATCAATCAAATTGTACAAATGAAGTATATTTGGTTCCGACTTAATATTTTTAAATCAATTTAAATAATGCAACATTTTAATTTTAATTTAATAAATGAATTCAAATTCTAAAATATACATTGTTATATTGGACACGTGTCCAATATACCATTTATCTTAGTTGGAAAGGAACTTACATTTTAAATTATTATTTTTTTAATTTAATAATTACAATTTTAAAATACACACCGTACATTTCAGTGTCCATTATACGATTTAGTTTAATTGGAGAAGGCACAGATAGATTGAGCGTTTAGTCTAGATCTTTTTAGGGCTTGAAACTCTATCTCTCAGTTGCCAGGTGACTGCACCCTGTAGCGATGGTGTTTGCTGACTCACCCCTCCCTCCTCTTTCGTCTCTCTCCCTGTCTTTATCTTTCTTTCATTCAGTGAAAAAAGCTTTTCAAAGACTTGTTTGTTTCTCAGACTCTATAGTAATTTAAAGAGACCAGCGGTCAAAATCTCCACCACAGAAGCCACATCAAAGATAAAATGGACACAAAACTGAAAATCCATCATCTGCAAACACGTGTGCGGCCGATGCATGGAGTATAGCTATGATGTGTTTATGAAAATAGGTGGTGACAGTAATCATTAACCAAGCTCCCAAGAGGAGCGACTGTGGAAACAGAGCTCAGCCTGAGATAACAGCTGAGAGCATCATGGTCCATCCGCCCCTGTTTATTTTACCCACATGGAAGCCAGAGGTCACAGAAAAAGGGACACGGACACCATCATCCCTGGGGATTTGGGCTATACAACGTGTTCCTGTCCAGCCCAGACACCCAGGGTACAAGCCGGCACTAAAATGTTGCCATGGTCCCTCCTGCCAATGGGTTGGATTTGAATTTAGTTGCCGTGGTGACAGGGATTAAAATCAGTTTGGGGGCGGGGTTTAGGAGGGATCTAAACTCTCAAGTTACTAGACACTCCTGAAAAAAGGCTGAGGAGAAAGTAAACCATTTAGTTTAGAAATTTCAGACCAGCTATAGTAGGAGGGAATTCACAGAGATCTCTTTAGTGTTTTTCCAAAAGATCAGTGAGATGAGACGTCTGTTAAATCTCCAGAATTTGTCTCCAGAAAAAGGTTGAAAGTCTTCTCTAGAGTTTCAGAAGAGATTCCACTAATGTCTCACACTGTGCTCAGATTTGCAAAGATATGAGTCAAAATCTGCTTAGAAACAACCGTTTTAAAAAGTGATTTTTCACGTTATTTAAAACAGGATCTGCATGTTCACGGGTTTTCTTATAAGATACAATAAACACAACGTGTGCATCAAAACCACTCCTTTCCCTGGTAAAACATGAACTTGATTTTTTAAAGTTAAAGGGTTAGTTCACCCAAAAATGAAAATTCTGTCATTAATTACTCACTCTCGTGTTGTTCCAAACCCGTAAGACCTTTGTTCATCTTCGGGACACAAATTAAGATGTTTTTAATGAAATCAGAGAGCTCTCTGACCGTGCATAGATGGCAAGGGCACTACCACGATCAAAGCACAGAAATGTAATAAGGACATTGGTCATTTTATACGAGTTATACAAGAATACATTTGTCCGCAAAGAAAACAAAGATAATGACTTTATTCAACAAGTCATCTCCTCCGCGTCACCCTGGCGCCATTTTGGAGAGTATCACAACGTGCGCTGCGCCTTGTTTACATTCAGAGGAAAGCACGCACATGCGTTGTGATACTCTCCAAAACGTTGTTTACGTACAGATGAAAAATGCAAACATTTTTACATGATTACTTAGCTAATTTTGACTCATATCAGAAAGATTTCAAATTCTTTCCTAAGTATTCTATATAATACTCTCCATATTTTGTGCTACACTTTTATGTTGACATCTGTCTGATTGATTTCTATTTTTATTTCTCCTGTATTTAAGGAGAAACATCTAGACAAATGTGATGTAAATCAAACATGGAGAACTTAATTCCAGATCTGTGAAATAAAATCAGAGCAATAAAACTGCCCTCTGGGTATACTTTATGAGAAAAACATGAGTAAATGAACCTTAGGCATGAGAGTTAATGCTCATTTATGAATAACTAAAAACAGGACTGAGTAACGTCTCTTAACAACCATCTATAGATATTCTAATACATTAAAGCACAAAAAGCAACATCTGTGTGTGTTCACCTGTTTCCTGGTGCAGCAAAGATTTATCTAAAGTCTTCACACGCAAATACAAACTCACTTGTTTATGACTGACTAACCATTTCCCACAGCAGCTGACAAACAAACGCTCACTCTGTTGCTTAGTCGACGGCGAGTCAAATCTCAGGAGAAACTAATATTAGACTCCTTATCGTATGAAGTAACATATGCTGTCATGTGTATCCACTTACTTCATCATATGAAGCCAATGTTATACTAGGTTTTTGCTAGAAGAATTACAATTATTTTAAGTGTTTTACAGCTGTTCAATCATGTTTAAAAACAAACTTAGGAATCTTTAGGAAGAATGCCCTCAGTATAGAATATAATACAGTTATAAAACTTTTACACAAATGATTATGACTACTATGAATCAAAGAGTAGATGAGCTCATGAAGGAGGTACAAGACTTGAAGATAAGTCTCCAGTTCACTCAGAAGGAGGTGGATGAATTAAAAGTTAACTGTATAGTATTTTCAACTGAATGTAAATCAAATACAAATGACATACATAAACTGGCTGAATCTTTTTGGTCTTAGATGCTAAAGCCAATTATTTGGAAGGCCAGTGCAAGCAGAACAATATAGTGGTGGAGGGCATTCCTGAGTCTCCAAATGAGAAATGGTGTGAATCTGAAGAGAAAGTAAAAAAGTTGATTCAAGAGAAATTACAGCTTACCTTGGAGAAAGCACATAGAATAGGAAGGACGAAAAATGGGAATTCTAATCGACCCATTGTGGTTAAATTTCTTAAGTATAACGACAAAGAAGCACTGCTGGAGTGAGTAAAATACTTCAAAGGCACAAACATATACTTGAATGAAGATTTTCCAGAATATGTGCGTTTAAGGAGGAAGGAGCTTTTGCCAGAATTGAGAGCTGCTAGAGAGAGGGGAGAGATAGCCTATATCTTTGTTATGATAAATTAATCACATATCCACCATCAAAAGTCAAAAAGGGCAGCAATGGGAAATAAAAGTAGGCCTCTGGCTTCTTCAAGTAAGCTTGAGGAAATTGGATGGAATTAAGATTTTATTTTTTTTTTAGAAATTATGTCAGTATTAATCAAGTTACCTAGGAAAGGATTAAAATTAGCTCATATTAATATTTGTAGCCTTAGGAATAAACTTGTTGATATAACTGATGTTTTTATTACAAATAATATTCATGTTTTAGCAGTAACAGAATCTTGATCAAACATTCTCAGATGATGTAGTAAATATAAATAGTTATAATATTCACAGGAAATACAGAAATAGATATGGTGGAGGGGTTGCCATATATATTCAAAGTCATATTCCAGTAAAGATAAGACAAGATTTCATGTCTGTAGATGTAGAGGCTTTGTGGCTACAAGTACAGTTACCATTTGTCAAATCATTATTTGTTGGTTGCTTCTATAGACCACCATGTGCAAACAGTTGTTATTTAAGTGAATTGTGTGAAATTATTGATAATGTATGTGATACTGGAAATTAAATTTACTTGATGGGTGATTTAAACATTAACTGGATGTCTCCGGTTTGTCCTCTGAAGACTAAAGTGGTGAATGTAATTAATGCATGTCATTTAACACAAGTTATTAATCAACCAACAAGAATTCATATAAATATTCTTGGGGAGATAACATCTACTTGTATAGACCATATTTATACAAATGCTGTGGAAATGTGCTCTAAGGGTGTATCTGTTCCTATTGGGTGTAGTGATCATAATATAATAGGTCCCTAAAGGGAAACCAAAAGTAATTTATAAATGATCATATAGGAAATTTTGTCAGAAAGTATTTTGTAAAGATGTAAATAATA